GATATTTGGAACAACCTACCTGCTGAGTTCCTTCAAAAACTCTGTGCAAGTGTACCTAGAACAATTGATGCTGTTTTGAAGGCAAAGGGTGGTCACACCAAATATTGATTTGATTTGGGTTTCTGTTCTGTTCGCTCACTTTGGATTTTGTAAATTAATAAACATAAACAATTACAATATATATTTTTGAAAGCATTTTTACTTTGTAGCATTTTTTCCACACCTGCCTAAAACTTTTGCACAGTACTGTATATTTTGGTTTCAGCAAAACATTTGATCTCATGATATCTCATGATAATTTGATTAGCAATCAAGTTTTGGCTGGTGACATGACAGTTAAGTGGCCACATAGCTGGCTCAAAAATCATACTCAAAGAGCACTCAACAATGATCCTTTATCAAACTAGATATAGGTATCAAGTGAGATGTTGATACCTATATCTGGGCTCTTGAATATTTTTATTTGTGATTTGAATGAAGAGGTGGAGATAGTGTTTATCAGATCTGTAGATGACACAATAATGGATATGATAAAATTCAAAACCATCTTGATAGATTGAAGAATAGACTAAATGTAACAGAATGAAATTTAACAGGGGCAAATGTAAAGTTCTTCATTTAGGAAACCTAAATCAAATCCACAGCTATAGGCTGGGGAACTATGTGGCTTGGTGATAGTACTTGTAAAAAGATCTTGGAACACCAGGTGATTGCAAAGCAAATATGAGCCAGCAGTGTGATTTGGTTGCAAACAAACTAATTAACAACCTCCCCAGTTCTGGGCACTACACTTTAAATAGGATTCAGAGAAACTAGAACAGGAACAGAGAAGAGCAATGAGACTGATCAGGGGACTGAAAACTACATTTTACAAGGAAAAATTGAAAGAACTAGATACGTTTACTCTTGAAAAAATATGCTAAGAGTATGCCAGTACTCTTCAAGTAGCTTTTTCATAGAAAAAGTTCAAGATATCTTTGTTTTCTTGTGTAAAACACAGAATAATGGGCAGAAGTTATGGAAAGCAGATTCTGATTGAATGTTGAAACTTCCTAAATAGTAAAAGCAGTTCAACAGTGGAACCAATTATTCAGAGACATCGTAGACTCTTCTTCATTGGATGTGTTTATGTGGAGGTCAGATAGGCATTTGTTGGGAATGATGTAAATTAGATTCCTGTGTTGAGCAGGGAGTTGGACCAGATGGCTTAGATGGCACCTTCCGACTTTACAATTTTATGATTATACAGCTGTGTTGTTCATTCATGGAATATTATTGGAGGGTGTAGATAACTTCATGTTCCATTTGCATCTCTCAAAGTTTCCAACTGTTTCTTTTGTCATACCCTAAATGTGGTGTGTATCAGTAGTTTAAGTTCAATATTCTAGCCACCATTACTATCCCAGCATATTAGGGTCAGTTCATTTCAAGTTATTAATAGGAGTTCCATTCTAGTTGAACAACTGCACATAATGAAACCAAGAAAAAACTTACCTTGCATACAGTATGTACACAAGCCCATTCATTTTGTATACCAGAAATAGACAAAAAGATTTCAAAACTGTGGCTACGTAAACCCTTTGGACTAAATTGTATTTTCCAACTGTGGAAACTGCAGATAATGAGATTGCAAATAACAAGGCCAGCTCTGTATGCACATCTCATTTTATATACTACAATGTTGTAGTCTTATTGATGTCCCATATTTGTTCAAAATATTCCTGCATTTTCCCTCTTGAGTTAATTTTTCATATGCATATGGCTTGCACTATGTAGTTCTCAGAAGCAAAAGGAAAGATGATACCATATTTCCTATATCCTCCATATTTTCTTTACAGCATAGTGCAAATACCGCCTGCAGATCAATAGTTCAATGCTAAGAAAAAATGATATTGGATTCTTTTATTTTGCTGAGAGATGGTTTCCATAATGTGGCTATTTTATTATTGTTGTTTTTACATAAATTGAACAAATGCCTTTGCCTTGTGGGGATCAAAAATTCCTAACTTTTGCTGAGCTGCTACTTGCATTGTTTAGTGTTGGAAATGCAGGAGTCTTTTAGTTAGCTGATAGCTGAGGATTTCTTGTCCTCTGTAAGAAATTTATGGCAAAAGACAGAGGTACTTTTTAAAAATAAAATTCTGTGGCATTACATGTTGAAAAGGATCAGTTTCTAGCCCACTGCAAAATCTACAGATGAAGAATTTCAGTAATATATAAATTGTCAATGGTACAGGGACGACAAGACAGCATGTCCAACTACTGCACGAGAGCATCCTTCTCAATGCCATTTTTGTCTGTTCATCTCATCCTTGTAGCATCATTGTAACATCCTAGTACTTTTTTTTTTTTTTTAATGTACTGGGCTATCAATTGTCTTGCAGCTTTAAGTTTGGACGGAAGATATTCTATGCAAACTACCTGAGCGACCTTGAGGAGCATGTGAAGTTGGAACAGCTTGGGATCCCAAGCCAGGTGCTAAAGTGAGAACATATTGCTTGTTGACTACCTTATTTCTAGCTTCCGTGGAGGATGATGTATTAAGGAGGAGTGCAGTCAGGAAAAGGCCTTGAGAGTTTGGTTTCTTTGCATATTTGGTATGATACTGTGAGCCATTTGGGTTCTCCCAGCAAAATATGTTTTTTTCATCTCCCTTTTTCCATGATCTTTGTGTTGGGTGCTTTCTCCCAGTTATTTATCTGTCTTTTATTGTTTTTATCTGCTGCTTGAAAACTTGCTCTGTTAATTCTCTTAAGCAGAGATTATTTTATGTGCCATCTTTAGTGCTCTATGGACCCAACCTGCCAATTCAAATTACTTGCTTCTGCTCAGTTGCCTGTGACCTTGATGTCCCATCATTTATTTCTAACTTTCTATGTGGGTAGTAGATGGTATAACTATTATAGAGAGTACATTGTAGGGCTTGCTTTCACAAAGTTGTGGGTCAGTGGATACCAGTTAAGCATTTTCAGTGTAGGACAGATTACTTTCATATGCACCCATGTTTCTTTCATTGTAGGTATGATGAATATCTGAGATCATTGCAAAAACCTACCCAAGTGCCTCAGAAAGTAACACCACCCCGTCCACCTCTGCCAAATCAGCAGTTTGGAGTTTCTCTCCAGCAGTGAGTATTTCCATCTCTTTATTTTAATTGATGTACCAGTGATGCCTGTACACTTTCTCTGGGTAGTAGTACAATATTATTATTGTTTCCAATAGAATCTGCTGCTGTAATTAGTTTTCTTCTGCCAGGCTGAGCTGCCAAGATCACGCCCAGAGAGACCCTGGATATTAGGCCAGTTTCAGAGTCTTTTCTTTCCCCCCAAATAATATGAGTGTCATGTGAGTGATTGTTTTAAGAAAGGTTGGTGTATACATTATTCATTACATCCTGCAGAGAAAAGACAAACATTATTTAAGCTTCTCCTTTCCCAACAGCCTGAGGGAGAAGAGCTCAGACTGCAATCCTATCCCACTGGTGGTCAGAGAAACCATTACTTATCTACAAGAGCATGGTAAGCCAAGAAAATCCATTTTCATACTGATCTGCCCCCTCCAGTATCCCCTACAAGGATTTTTTGTCTTGCATGAGCTTAGTTATCTTCAGATGTCTTAGCATTATCCTAGCTCCATACTGAAGGACAGTGCACTTCTATATGTGCCCAGTATTATAGCTGTTATATATAAATGTTGTGTTGTGCAAAATTTCTGGAAATTATTGGGAGAACTTGCAGTCCCCTTGCTTCACCGTCCTGTGCTATAATTGGCAGAATACTGTAGACACATTGTTTTTAGGGCTACATAATGTTTATTGCCCATAACTGTAGTAATACAATTGCTCTGAGCTCTTTTTTCCCCCCTCTTTCAGCTCTTACCACACAGGGGATTTTCCGGCGATCCGCAAATACACAAACAGTAAAAGAGGTTCAACAGAAATACAACATGGGTAAATGTCTGCTTGAGCTAGTCTCTTCCATTCTTCTCCTTTCTGTATGGGCTCTACATCTGCCCTTGGCACATGGAATTTCTGCCCTGTTATGGGTTATGTTTTGGCTGTTGCTCTGAAACATTTTATTCTGTCTTACCCAGGACTGCCTGTAGATTTCGTAGCATATGAGGATGTGCATCTTCCTGCTGTGATTCTAAAGACCTTCTTGAGGGATCTGCCTGAGCCTCTACTCACCTTTGGTCTCTACAGTGATGTTGTTAATTTCTACAGTAAGTGGTTACTAAGATGGTCCTGATCCCACATCAGTAATCTTTTCCCAGTATGCCTGACCCAGAGTTATGGTTTTCTTTGATAGTAGGAGAGGCCTTATTTTTCAAGTTAATATAATGACATTTCTACTGATTAGGAGACTCTATTTCTTTTCAAGTATTTTTCCTCTGCAAGATAATGTCTCCCCATTATTTGCTAGAATTGGGAATGCTGGTGCACATATCAGTCTTGTTTTCTTTTCCTTTAAGGCATGGAGGAAGAAAAGAGTATAGATATTGTGCGCAAAACACTTCAGACTCTCCCTGAGGAAAACCATCAAGTTCTGTGTTTATTAATGTCCTTTCTTGGGCAGGTGAGATTCATGTATTACATACTTTTCAAATTCTCAGTCATAAGATGTGGTGATGGTGGTTGGCTTAGATAGCTATAAAAATAGATTAGAAAACTTAATGAAGGGTGCCTATCAGTTATTAATAATTATAATAATAGAACTAAGTAGAAGCTCTGTGTTTGGAAATAACCTAAATCTGAATATACATTGTTTAGAAGAGCTGTGAAGACCTTGTTCTTTACCCAGGCCTTTGGCGAAGGAGAGTGAGACCCCTTGCTTCATCATGCTTGCCATCTTTTATCTTTATCTTTTATGCTTGATTGAATTTATTGAAATTTCTTTGATTGTTGTGAGCTGTCCAGAGTTGTTGAGAGTTAGGCAGCATACAAGTTTAATAAATTATTATTATTATTATTATTATTTACTATTAGGAAATGGGATGCTAAAATAGGTGAACTCAATTCTTCCTATATCCTTTTGCAGTGTAAATATTGATCCATGTCCCTTCTAGAGTGCTCCATCCTGATCCCCTCTCTCTCCGCTCACTGAAAAGTACTATTTGGGAACAGATTGAGCTCAGGTTCCCCCACACACTTCAATGCTGAGCAGTGATTAGAACCTTGAATTTTTCTATATCCATATTGAAAACTAATCACTATATACCATATATATCAGTTAACATTCTTGCTGTGATTTGTGTATTCTTTGGTAAAAAAACATTTGAAGTGAATATAGGGAATATAAATGAACTTTAATGCTTATAGAGAGAATTTACTTCCTGGATAGAGAGTATCTCTAAGAGAATAAGGGACAAAATATGAAACCTGTGCTCCTATATGCCCTGCTCCTGAGGCAGGTGAACAAGATTGCCAAAAGGTTTATCTGTAATAATCAGTTATTGTGTGTGTGTGTATGAGAGAGTTATCTATAAAATTCTTTGTGGCTCAGCCTGGTTATCTGTGAGACCACTTGTCTCTAGTTATACCTGCCTGTCCTATTAGATCTAATAGACTAAGCATGTTCTAAGTCCCATTGTTAAAATTATGACATCTTTTGGGACTTCAGAGATGTACCTTTTCGGTGGCCTTACCTGCTTTGTGGGAAAGTAGCCCAATGTCTGCATGGTCCCAATACTGTTGTCATTTAGAAAAGGCCTTCAACTGTGATTCTTTCAACAGGGCACTTTGTGACTCTACACTGACATTAAGATTGTATTCCTTGGTTCTTGGTGTTTCCTTCCCTGATATAAAATAAAGGTTTTGTGTATTACTTTTTTCTACAGGTAGCCTTCGCTTAACAACCATAATTGGGACTGGCAACTCAGTCACTAAGCAACCCAGTAGTTAAGTGGGACATCATGTGACTGTTACAACCTCTCTTCTGCTGCAGTTGTTAAGCAAGTCACCGCGGGTTGTGACGTGAGACACCACATGACCGCGACTTGTGATTTTACTGTCAGCTTCTCCATTGATTCTGCTTGTTGGAAGCCGGCTGTGAAGCACGCAAATGGTGATCATGTGACTGTGGGATGCTGCAATGGTCATAAACACCCGCTGGTTGCGAAGTGCCTGAATCTCGAATGCATTACCACAGGGATGCTGCAACAGTCATAAGTGCAAGGACTGGTTGTAAAGTTACTTTTTCAGTGCCATCGCTAAAGGGCAGTCGTTAAGCGAGGACTACCTTTACTTGCTTTATTGATTTTAATATAATTGTTTTATTTTTCAAAAAGAGCTCTGAAAAACTGGCTTTCTCCAGGCCTTTGGTTAGAATGGATTTGCAGGACTGATTGTCTTTTAATGGTTGCTTTTCTTCTGACGTTTAGGTGGGGTTTTGTTTATTTGTTTTAATTATATTGTATGATTGTTTTTACTCTACACATCTAAAGGTGGGCAGCTTCATACATTTCTTAAATAAATAAGTCAAATTTATAAAGCCACCCAACTCACAATGATTCTGTTGTAAGTTGCCAAGAGTTCCTAGGATGGTTGAGGTGGCTTATAAATGAATAAATAAATATCCTCCAATTAGATTTTTGTTACGTTATTCCTGAAAAGCTGGAGACCAACACAGTTAAAAGAATTAGTAGACGACTGATTCTGGGAGCAGTGAGAAGAAAAAAAGATTTGTAACTAAAAGTCTGTAGTTTATGAAACAGCAAGAATTCTAAACTCCATATACCATTGTTTATATGCAAGACAACTTTGGTCTTCATGTGTGGCATGAGAACTGAATAGATGGTGAGGAGCCAAGCACTGAATGAAATGCCTGCTTTCTTTCAAGTGATAAGAATCAATTTTCTTTCTCTTTCTCTCCCCTGTTCCTTCACATGTAGGTCTCTGCCAACAGTGATATCAACAAGATGACCAATGCCAATCTGGCAGTAGTTTTTGGCCCAAATCTGTTGTGGGCTAAAGATGCAGCTATAACCCTCAAAGCCATCAATCCTATCAACACCTTCACCAAGTTCCTATTGGACAACCAGATGGAGCTTTTCCAGAACACAGAGGCTTGATAACCTGTTTGTGCTAGCACGCCCTGTATCCACTGTGATCATTCCTTTCTTCTTCCCCTCCTTCCTTTCTTTTCTACCTTGCTTTGGAGATGTGGCCATTCTAAGGAAGATCCAGGTTATGGTGTGAAAGATGGATACAGTTTGCTTGTTTGTGTATATGGGGTTTTTTTGCAAGAGGGGTCTGATCAGATGAGGATGGAAAACAGATCTTAAAAATCAAGTTCTGCCTTGGCTGTTCTGTCTGGGGTACTGGTACTAGTATTCAGGTTGTTCTTAAATGTTTAGGTCCCTTCCTTTTCCAAGGGTGTCCTGTCAAATAAATCTCCTCAAATATCAATGGAATTGCTTTCTCTTAGTACCAGGGCTCTGGGAGGGCTAGAGTAGAATCTATTTCAGTCTGTTCTCTGGTCCAAATTGGTTCTTCACAGGTATCCAAGTCAGACTTTAATACCCTTTAATACTGAGAGTGACCATTGCTGAATACACTTTACTTTATACCTTTGATGGACACATGGGCTTAGCCCCTGGGCAAAACTGAGCCATAGTAATACAACTGGCTTAAGTGCCTGGAGAGTTATCTATAGATTTCATGCAGCGCTGACACTTGATCTGCTATCAGATGTTCCTGTTGTATTAAGATACATGCTCTTGGATGTAGTGGAGCTCTATATTCTGCCTTTACAGTGTCCTCCTGTAGGCTTTGCCAGCAGTTTAATTCAAATTGGCCTTGGCAGCAAGCCTTTCCTTTTTAATTGGGAGATAATGAATGCAAGTGTGTATGTACTGATATTCATTCAACCTGGCCAGGTGATATTAGCTCCTTTCTGCCAAAGTCCAGATCAAATACTGGCCATACCTGTGGCTGAAACACAGGAAATGTGCTATTAGGTGGTTCTGGCTGCAGCGCTTTAGCCTTTGGAATTAGACTGTTTTCAAGCAAAAGCTTCATGATGGGGGCCAAATCCTATTCTAATCTGTTGGGATCTACTGTGCCAAAATTATTACAAAACGAGTTTGTTTCTACCATCTTTTCCTTATTGGGTTCAAATGTAGTTCTTCAACTTAGTCAAAATGACTCTGATGCACCCTTGGTTTCCTTTGCACTTGAGAGATATGAAGCATTGCTATCTCTTTCTAGGAACTGAGACAGCCCTGCAGTATGTTTATCTGGTTTTTGACTCTATCTTTTTGACTGTTTCATGGAGTTAGTTTTGTAAGCACTAGTCTTAATCTGTATAAAAATAGTAGTGGCCTACAGGGTGTTCAGCAGCCATAGTTTTAAAATAAAATCTTAACATTTCCATTATGTTTTGCTGACAGCTATGTTAGGAGCTGGATATGATTACATAGCCATAAGTTGACCCTGTAAAATAGCAGGGCAGAATTTGCAGAATTATAGAGGCTAGCAATGTTTTTTACCCCATAGTTCAATGCAATTACTCAATAAAATTGTTCGTTACGGTTATAATTAACAAATGATCAATGAGTACCAAAAAGTGCACCTGGTAATCAGTGCCCATAGTCCAACCATGGCCAGTGAGTTAGCTCTAGTAGTACTTGAAAGAATTCCAAAACTGTTAGTGATAACTGGGAATGGCAGATTAAGGTGGTTGAAACTATCAGGAGGGGCTGATGTGCTAAGATTGCTCATTCTCCTTTATTAAGGCATATATGATCAGTCTGATGTGTTGTAGATAGTGGTTAGTCTGAAGAAACATGGGGACCCTTTTAGCTAGAAATGGAAAATGATAAAGATTATCAAAAGCTTTTTTTTTTCTAATGTCTTTCATACAATACTATTTAGCATGACTAAATGAGGAGTGGCCTTGTGTGGAAGCTGTATCAATTAGCTTCACTGTTTTATATTTCAGGCCATGAACTTGTTGTAAAAGCTTGTAGGCTGTCTATTTTTTATAGCATGCCATTGTGATTCAGGCTAGATTTGATCTGATTCCAAGCTACAAAAGTATTGCTTTGTTTATTAAAAATGCCCAGATGGAAAAGAAACTGATTCTATAAAAGCTGTAATTTAGAATAGTAAGGTCCCAGGCTGCAAGTTCAGCCCCTGCACCCAAACTGTAATTTCTATACTGAATTACTTTCAGAATAATGTTAATGCAAGTTGGGGAGAAGAGTTTCTTTGGGGTTAAGTATTGCCATAACTAGGCAGTGACACATTTATCAATTACATATATTTCAAACTCCTGAATGTGACTTTGCATTGCCAGGTTATAAAATGTACCTTGTTAAGTGGTGCACATTATGAAAGTGAACTTGCAAAACTCTAGAAGTGAGCCAGTGTAAATAAATCTGTTAATTTTCTCACTTTGCTGGAGCTACCAGAAAATCTAGAGCCTATGATTGCTTTGTTTCTTTTTCTCATTTTGCCTTTTTACAACTGTGGCTAGCCATGGAGCTGCGATAGGCTAGACTGCTTAAAAGAATGAAATATGCGGCTTGAACTACACTGCACTCCAAGTTTTGATTTCCAAAATGCCTGCTGCCTGGATTGGGGTATCCAAGCAGGCAATCAGAATAATTAGAGGAGCAGCATCTCATGTAGCTGCTTATGTCTTCCCACTTCCTTTTCTAACAGAACTTGATAGTTTATGGTGGCTATACTTCCTGTCCTCCTTTGTCCCTCCAATGGTATATCTCCTTATTCCTGTTTCTTGCTGCTTGGCTTTCACGTTAGGTATTGACCACAGTATTTCTGTTGATGGAACACTCTGTCTCCACTCTCTTTTTTGCCTGTTAATAAACCCACTGATACTTTGGTATCCTTGGAACACAGTCTGTGCCCGCAATGCTAGCAGTTGGTCTTTTGCTTGTACTGACAACAGCTTTTGGGTAATATTGCTGATGTTGAGGCCAATCTTATATGTGTTGCCTCAGCCAAATATTACACGGCCAAATGAGCCCTTGTTGCGCACTCTCTAGCAATTTTTGTTGCTGTTTCTTATATTTTTCTTCTTTTAACTGTTTATTGGGAGCAAGGCTGGGGATTGTTACTGTGACTTTTATTTACACATCCTTGTTTATTTCCTTCCAATGGTACCAATCTTGTATTCAGTTTGCACTTTTTGTACTTCAATAAACACCCAAAACCAATAACAGATATTGGTGTATTTCTCAAATTTGTTGCTCTAAGACTAGTTATTAAGAGATACTGTTTAATATTAGGCACCTGCTGCCTGCTCAAGTCAGTACTTGAAAATACAGAATCTAATTTTTCTCATCCTTAAACCCACTGTGTCAATTTGATCCAGCATAATTGTACCTATTAAGTGTAAATCAATGCTCATCAGATATAGGACAGTCAGTTTTATCCAGGGTTTCTCCAACCTTACTATGGCTGCTTTAATTAGTTGCTTTCAGATCAGGCTTAATTCTTGCTAACTACATGGCCAAATGTTTTTATATATCTTCACTAGAACTGAAGAGGAATAAACTTGAAATTAGGAGCTCATTGATATCTAATCTATCTAGCAGAAGCTCTTGCTAATTCTCCTTTTCTAGGTAATGATCTCATTAGGTCCCTGAAAAGAAAGCTAGAAAGTGTCCAGCTTCTGAAGATAAATTCTGGTCCTATGTGAAGTACATATGCTCCTTTGAAGGAGGGCATATTTGCTTGCAAGAGGTGTGTAGAATGTTATAAAAACTAGAATAATGTGAACTGTGAGAGCCATAAACTTTTCCTCTGTCCCAACCATGATCTAAATTTACAGCTAAATATACCTGACATAAATGTAATCATATCGCTCTTTGGAGTAAAAATGAATAAAACGAATAAAGATGAAAATAATTACAGTGACCAGGAAATGAAAGGAATGATATATTAAAAGTAATTAGGGAAAAGAGATAATACTTAAAAAAAATGTTCCTAATTTTGGCTTCCACTCTTAGAAAATGCCAGTTTGTATGATAATTGACTAATAACATGAGTCCCATTGAAATTAGTGTGGTAACTGGGGACAGAATCACAACTACTTGTTTCAGTGTGATTTATTAATGATTAATATATTTCACCCATTCATGTGCCCTTCTATGATATTAATTAATTTTACGTAGGATGTATTCATAAATAAAATCTGGCAGAATTGTAGAATTCAAGGTAACACTCTAAAAACTCAAAATTAGGGGACTGAATTCTGACTCTAATACTACATTAATTTTACAGTAGATTAAACAATTAAATGTTGGATATCAAATAAAAATTAGAAACTTGTCATAAAGTTTTCATGAATACAACTACCAAGTAGAAAGCTACTGACTTTTTGAAAACTCTGCAGCTTTCTTTTAGGATTTGGATATTGTCCTTCATAGCACAGAAATGCCTCAAGCGAATGTTTATACCAAATATGTGGCCTGATTCACTTTATTTTTTGAAATAATTGCCCTCACAACCATTTTTCATACTTTTTATTTCCAGAGGAGGATTGTTTTTTAACCCTCCATACAAAATGCTGAGAACCTGGCATAAATATGGTCACTAGCATGCTTTCTCTTTAGGGAATTTCCAAGAGGCAGAAAGAGCTATCCAAATTAATGCTGCATTTGGTTCCCATGTGACATGTTGAGATCGTGCCAGGATGATTTTTGCTTATGGAAACTACAGCTGCAAAAGCATTTTTCATTCCTTTTCCTGATAACAACTGAGCATGAATTTAAACTGACCTTAAGTGCATGGGTATCTGTCCCTGGAAATGCAAAGCCAAAGATGTCCAACCCATCATCTATTGGCTGCATGCAACCACAAAGCACCGTCTGGGGGGCCAAAAGATTAGTTCTCTTGGGTAGGTAAAGGAGTGAAATAAACATCTTAAGCTTTGCGGAAGCAAAATACATTCATTTTGCCCCTTAACATCTCCCCAGTTGAGATGTTTCTCAAGTGGGGGGGGGGAGGAGGCTGTTACAAAAATGCAAAAAAGGCATCCATTTCTCCCCAAAACAATCCAAAAAGTTTGGCCTTGCCTACAAGTGTGGTTACTAGCTCACAGCATCCAACACATCTGCATTTAAGCTTGTAGTACTTGTATGCCTTCTCATTTTGTTCCCTTTTGAAACCTTTTCAGCCAAAGCTACACTCTAGTAACTGCTTTTGAATATGTTTGTAATACGCCTGAGATACATGCATTCTGTAAACACTGTGCACAAGCTAATTTCTGAGCTTTAGTACGTGTCAATATATTGTACAATGCATGCACAGATTTTATTTACTTACATTCCCCAGCATTACCACACTGTTTCTGTAGATAACACTGTATTTTTCTTAGAACTCAAGTTTCTAGTATGGAAAAAATGAGACACTTTTATCAGTATGTTCATTAATAATGTAGTTATATAAATAATTTTAAAAAATAAATCCACATCATAAGATTGTTGTCAACCTGTAATGAAAATCTGATAGCATAATTAAACCAACCTTTCTGTCTCCACCATTTTATGGGAGTATAAAAGTTCTTATTGATGGCAATATTGGCAAAGTTAGGCCTCTTTCACAGATATGCTATTTTTATTTACGTACAGTGCATTCGGAAAGTATTCAGACCCCCTTCACTTTTTTCAATTTTGTTATGTTGCAGCCTGATACTACAATTTTTCAAATTCATTTTTCTCATTAACCTACATTCAGTACCCCATAATGACAAAGTGAAAACAGAATTG